AGAATGGAGACAGACCAAGTAAATAATCTCATGTTGCAACTAAAACAGCTAGAAAAACAAGAAAAAATGGGACCTAAAGCTACTAGACGAAGCCAGATAACCAAATTGAGAGCAGAGATTAACCAATTAGAAAATCAGAAAACCATAACCAAAATAAACCAAACAAAAAGCTGGTTCTTTGAAAAAATAAACAAAATTGATGGCCCGTTGGCAAGATTAATTAAAAAAAGAAGAGAGGAAACCCATATTAATAGGATTAGGGATGCCACGGGAAACATCACAACACGTACCCAAGATATCCAAACAATTCTAACAGACTACTTTCAAAAGCTATACTCTCTAAAGGAAGAAAATCTGGCGGAAATGGATGCATTTTTAGAGAAATACAAGTTACCCAAACTGAGCAAAGAAGAAGTTAACCAATTAAATAAGCCAATATCCTATAATGAGATACAGGAAGCTATCAAAAGTCTTCCAACAAAAAAAAGCCCAGGACCAGATGGATTCACAGCAGAATTCTATAAGACCTTTAAAGAAGAACTAATACCCATACTCCTCAAGCTCTTCAGAGAAACAGAGAAGGAGGGAGCTATCCCAAACTCATTCTACGAAGCCAATATCACACTCATCCCCAAACCAGGCAAAGACCCAACCAAAAAGGAGAATTACAGGCCAATCTCCTTGATGAACACAGATGCAAAGATCCTTAACAAGATTCTAGCTAACAGAATCCAGAAACACATAAAAAAAATAATACACTATGATCAGGTAGGCTTCATCCCAGAGACACAGGGATGGTTTAACATACGTAAGTCAATAAATGTAATCCAGCATATCAACAGAGCCAAGGTCAAGAATCACATGATTATCGCCACAGATGCAGAAAAGGCCTTTGATAAAATTCAACATTCATTCATGCTAAAAGCTCTGGAGAAAATAGGAATAGAAGGAACATTTCTAAAAACAATAAAAGCCATTTATGACAGACCAATAGCCAATATTATACTTAATGGGGAAAAGCTACAACCAATCCTCCTAAAAACAGGAACAAGGCAAGGATGTCCACTGTCTCCACTCCTCTTCAACATAGTCCTAGAACTCTTAGCCAGGGCAATAAGGCAAGAAAAAGACATTAAAGGGATCCGCATAGGGAAAGAAGAAGTGAAACTATCCCTTTTTGCAGACGACATGATACTATACCTCCACGATCCCAAAAACTCCATCCCCAAACTTTTAGAAATCATAAGTCACTTCGGCAAAATAGCAGGATACAAAATAAACCCACAAAAATCAGTTGCCTTCCTATACACTGATAACGCACAGGAAGAGAGGGAAATAAAGGGAGCAACCCCATTCACAATAACCTCCCAAAAAATAAAATATTTAGGAATTAACCTAACCAAAGATGTAAAAGAACTATTTAATGAGAACTATAAAAAGTTAAAGAAAGAAATTGCAGAAGACACTAGGAAATGGAAAGACCTCCCATGCTCCTGGATAGGCCGACTTAATATAGTAAAGATGGTGATACTTCCAAAACTAATATACAAATTCAATGCAATTCCTATTAAAATCCCAATGACGTACATCACTGAAATACAGAAAACAGTCCAAAAATTTATATGGAACAACAAAAGACCTAGAATAGCCAAAACAATTCTAGGGGATAAAGACAATATGGGAGGGCTATCCATGCCGAACTTCAAACTCTACTACAGAGCTATAATCACAAAGACAGCATGGTACTGGCACAAAAACAGACCCGAAGACCAATGGAACAGAATAGAAGATCCAGATATAAATCCACAGGCCTACAGCCAGCTGATATTCGACAAAGGAGCCAAAGACATACAATGGAAGAAACACAGCCTCTTCAACCGCTGGTGCTGGGAAAACTGGGCAGCCACATGCAGAAAACTGAAAGTGGACCCCAGCCTATCACCATGCACCAACATCAACTCAAAATGGATTAAAGACCTTAACGTTAAACCTGAATCTCTGAAACTACTGCAGGACAGAGCAGGAGAGACACTTGAACTAATAGGCACAGGAAGGAACTTCCTGAACAGAGTCCCAGGGTCACAACAAGTTGGAGAGAGACTCGACAAATGGGACTACCTTAAAATAAAAAGCTTCTGCACAGCTAAATCTATCGCAACTAAGCTAGAAAGACAACCAACTAATTGGGAAAAAATATTTACCAGCAATATATCAGACAAGGGGTTAACATCGTGTATATACAGGGAACTCAAGAAACTAATCCCTCCCAAACCTAACAAACCAATTACTAAATGGGCAAGGGAACTAAAGAGGGACTTCTCAAATGAAGAAATAAAAATGGCAAAGAAACACATGAGGAAATGTTCATCATCCCTGGTGGTGAAGGAAATGCAAATAAAGACAACCCTGAGATACCACCTTACCCCAGTCAGAATGTCCCACATCCACAAATCAGCCAACGACAAATGCTGGAGGGGATGTGGAGAAAGAGGAACCCTATCACACTGCTGGTGGGAATGTACACTTATACAACCACTTTGGAAAGCAGTCTGGAGGGTCCTTAGAAAGCTAAAGATTGACCTCCCTTACGACCCAGTCATACCACTTCTAGGCATCTACCCTGAACAACAGGAACCAATATACAAGGACACGTGCACCTCCATGTTTATTGCAGCACTGTTTGCAATAGCTAGGATATGGAAACAACCTAGGTGCCCCACCACAGATGAATGGATCCAAAAATTGTGGTATCTATACACAATGGAATATTATGCAGCCATTAGAAATGACAAAATAATGGCATTTGCAGGGAAATGGATGGAGCTAGAAGGAATCATGTTGAGCGAGGTAAGCCAAGAACGAAGAGACAAACGGTACATGGTCTCCCTCATAAGTGGATGCTAAATCCAAAAGGTTAGGTGATACGACAAAACTAACAGGACTTAAGAAACAAAGAACTCCCGCTCATCTGGTTGAACCACTACTAAATATCCTCATGCTGCTGATCACAAATATGGTATATAACATGTGAACACTGTTATATATTACAGACTGTGGTAGACAATTTGCTCCAGGGAAGTTAGAATGAACTTGTGACTTTGAAATTATGTAATCATTTAATCACAATCAAAAAAAAAGAACCTCGGGGAAGGGAGGGAGGGAGGGGATGGTAGGGGGAAAACAATGGAGGGGGTAAAAAATAAAAAAAAAAAAACAACTAAATCAGGAACTTTTTTTTTTTTTTTTTTGCCAGTTCTGGGGCTTGAACTCAGGGCCTGGGCGCTGTTCTTGAGCTTTTTTGCTCAAGGCTAGCACTCTACTACTTGAGCCACAGTGCCACTTCCAGTGTTTTCTGTTTATGTGGTACGAACCTGGGGCTTCATGCATGCTAGGCAAGCACTCTGCTACTGAGCCATATTTCCAGCCCCAAATCAGAGATATTTCATTTACAAAAGTTTATCCCTAGTATTCTCATGCTTAGGTGTTTCTTTTGTTTAAGAAAACTGTGGCATGTTCTCCAAAGATTAAGCTAGAATGACTCTATGATTGAGCAATGCCATTTGTGGATGTAAAGAACGCAAGTAAGAACTCCAAAGAGGTATTTGTATGCTTCCGTTCATGTAGCATTTCCCACACTAGACAAAAGTAGAAGCAGCCTGAATGTCCATCAAAGGACAATGTATAGATGAAATGCTGATAAGCCAATACAAACAATGAAATATTATCCAGCTTGAAAAAGGAAGGAAATTCTAGACATATGCTACAACTCAGATGAGCCTTCAGGATCCTACACTAAGTGAAATAAGCCAGTCACAGGACAAATACTGCATAATTCCACTTATATAAAACACTCAGAGCTGGGAAATTCACAGAGACAGAAAGTAGAAGGGTGGTTGTTAGGGTGTGGGGGATGAATAGTTAGTATGGGATGGACTCCATGGTGAGAATGGGCTGGTTGTGGTGATTGCACACAGCTTAACGCAACTGAACTGCACACTTAAAACTGTTTAAAATGGCTGGGTGTTTGATGGTGGAGGCTCGTCTGTCATCCTAGCTATTCAGGAGGCTGAGATAGCAGTTGGAAGCCTTTAGGGGCAGACAGGACTCTTATCTCCAATTAATTAGCAAAGACCTGAAGTGGCTCAAGTTTGGTAGAGCTCCAGCTTTGAGTGAAAAATCTGCACCAGTATTGTTGTGCGTGCACGCACACATTTTTCTTTTTCTTTTTTTTTGATTCATCTTTATGCATGCTGCTACAGTAAATAAAATAAAAAAGAAAAATGTAACCAATGCTATTTTCGAGATAAAGGCTATTCTGCTGTGTGCAGGGTGACAAGACTTCTGGTTCTCCTGAATCTCCCAGGTAAGTCCTGAACTCTTCAAGCTCAGCAATTTGAGCCACAGGGCAAAATTGTACGAAGTTGTGATCTTTAACACACGAAGGAAAAGAAAAATCCTGTAATCCTGCTTAGTTCTAGTTTCCTGTCCTTCCTGGCTTTCAATTGTCAAAGCTATCCTAAAACACTTTCTTCTGAGGGAAAGGAAAGATGGGGGTGGGCGGGAGCTGCCCGAGGACACTGCCTCGGGGACAGACAGAAATTGAACTAGACAGCTCTGCAGGGCATTTGACTTTTCCAGCCTGGAGGGTGGGGTGTGTGTCTGTACACGTGTGCGGGAAGAACTTGTCCCTAGCTGCGGCAGCACCTGGGGCCGAACGCTGGGTGCACCTTGCCTCAGTTTCCCCAGGAAGGACCCTCAGAACACCGCCCCTCCCCCCCCCCCGCCCCCCCCCCCCCGCCTAGTTTTCGGAAGTCCCGCTGTGCACGGGCCCGGGCTGCCGCTAGGGGACGCGCGCGCGCGGGGAGGAAGCGGAGGGGAGGTGTGTGGGGGAAGCCTGGGCGGGGCGCAGGGGCGCGCGGGGCGGGGCGCAGGGGCGCGCGGGGCGGGGCGGCGCGCTGAGTCACCCGGTATCGGCCCGCCCGCGGCCGTCAGGGGCGGAGGTGACAGCGGGCCCGGGACGGGCGGCCGCGGGTGCCCGCCGCGCCGAGGGACCGCCGGGCAGCGGAGAGCAGGTCAGACCCGGGCCCAGGGGCCTGGCGGAGCAGGGCGGGGCGGGGGGGTTCGCCGTCCGGGTCCCGCGAGCCGTGGGGACCCCCCAGCCCAGCCGTCCGCCGCGCCGCGCGGCCGGGCCTGCGCACTGCCGTCCCGGAGCCGGCCAGGGCGGTGGGCGCCGCGGGCCCCCTTGGGCCCCGCCGGGCCGGGCGTCCGCGCGCCCACGGGGGCTGGAGGGGCAGTGGGGGTCCCCACGTGGACTGTTACGGGGTGTCAAGCCCGGACGCCGTTCTCCGCCCTGCCCCTCGGCGGGGCGGCCGCGTCTGAGCGCAGTGGCCCAGCCCCTTCTTTCCAGGGCGTGCGGGAGTCCCGCAGCCGGGTGCCCGGGAGCGACCTGTGTGCCTGGGCTTCGGTTCTCTGGAGCTCCGCGGTGCCCTGGACGCCTGCACTTCTGCCTCAGGTACTGGTGTCCTGGCGTCGGGAAGGAGACGGGGCCGCCGGCCGGGTGAAGGAGGGGGGGGGGGTACCAGGCAGGCCCGGGTCTGGGGCGGCTTGGGAACCGTGAAGAACCCTTGGCGGCGTGGAGCTGAAATTTGAATACAAGACCCCCAACCATCATGGGCTAAAGGCTTGGCGCCGGGGATTGAGCCCTTGCCTGGCAAGCGACTTGGGAGTCCGGAGTTCAGACCCCCAACAACGACAACCAAAGTTGGTCTCATGTCCTTACCGCTCCTCAACTAAAATCGTTCAGTAAAGCAGAGGTGAAGGCAACTTGCCTTGAGGTCTGTTTTACTCTGATTGTGTGTATTTATTTATTTACAGTCATCTGAGCATCTCTGGCTTTGTGACGTTGTGGTTTGTGGCTGGCCTAAAGTCACACTAATCCTTGGAGTTTAAGCATAGTTTAAGCTCCACTTGAGGAGCTGAGCTACGGGGTGGGTGGACCTGGTTTAATTTGTAGTAGTATTTTGCAAGACTGAAGTACTGGAAGCATGCAAGAATAATTTCTTAGTGCTACCTTTATTAAACCTTCACAGCATGATTCAAAGTCATAAGCAAGTTAGTTTATAACTCAGTACCCATTTTTCTCTAAAATATTGAATTAAAAAGTCCTTAAGGCATTTTTCCATCTCCCAAGTTCTATTCTTTTCCTTTCTTCTCTTTTTTTTTTTCCCCCCTATTCTTTTCTTTGGTATGTGCCTGTACTGGCACTTGAACTCAGAGCCTGAATGCCATCCTTTAACTTTCTTTGCTCAGGGCTGGCACCCTATGGCTTGAGCCACAGCTTCTCTTCCAGCTTTTTGCTTGTTAATTGGAGCGGAGAGTCTCAAGTGCATTTTTAGCCTTTGCTGTCTTTGAACCATGATCCTCATGTCTCAGCCTCCTGAGTAGCTAGGATTACAGGTACAGGCCATCGGTGCCCAGCTCGAAGTTCTTTAATTTTACATGTTAACTTTAAGCACTTGATACTCATTGTGACAACAAAAAGGTTGTAAGAAAAAAATTAAATGTTCTTTTTTACTGGCATATGCTGCATTGCACATAATAAGGGGCTTCTCGGTAACATGTCCATGCTTAAAAATAATTCTGCATGGTGCATAGCAGATCTTCAAATTTGTTACTATTCTCAACTCTCTCAGTCACGTTATCACTGTTGGGCTAAAATAAGTGAAAAGGGTTTTTCAGATTGAGGTTTCAGTAGTAAATTCATTTGAGTCCCGAGTCTGGAATGGCAGATAGTGCAGAACAGCAAAAGCCTGGCATGGGAATGGGGTCTCGTGCAGTGTCTCAGTTAACTTTTGCAATAAGCTGAGAACATTCTGACTCAGAAATGGTGATAAGATGACTTTTACACAGCGTTCATATTGTGCATGCATAGTTTTTGGCTGAGATGTGATAATAATCTTTATAGACTGTCTAAATATGTAATGAGTTACTTGTCTTGCAGCCACAAAGCCAGGCCTTTACAAACCTTCCTCCTTTCACCCATCTCTGCTTCTTTCTCTTGCTTCTTTCTTCTTTGGATGACCCTCGTACCTGCAGAGACCTTCCTCACATTCCTTCTTCACTCACATCTCATTGCAGAGCCCCCTTCCAAAGCACCGATGGACTTACATTACTTTTCTCCTAGAGAACAGGATCAGGATCAATACTGATTCTTGAATTGCCATTTGGGATCTAAAAACTATAGGTAGTTCCTCATTTTTAGAAGATAATGGGACTCCATGAGCTCTGTTTCTGGAAGACTAGGTTCTGTAGACTAGGTTCATATTTTTATCTTCTTTATACTTGCAGAGGACAAAATAAAATGCCTGCAGAGCCAATGAACTCATTTTCTTCATTTCTCAGAAAATGTCCTTTCTTCATGGTGTTTAGCATAGTAGTTTATTTATTATTTATTTATCTATTTTGGACTAAAATAAGTGCCGTGATGTTCCAAACTACAGCTATTTTAGTTTTAAGTTACTTTTGAGGATTTTTTTAAAACAGGGCTTTGCTATATAGTCAGGCTGACCTCCAACTTATCATCTTCCTGCTTCAGCCTCCTGAGTGCTGGGGGTACAGTGATGTACCACGATGCCTTGCTTGGTGAAAATTTTTAAATGATGAAAATAATTAAAATACAATACTGGGGATAGACACATGGCCCAGTTGGTAGAGGGCCAGCCAATAAGCAACAGTGAGTGTGAGTTCCAGTCTCTGTCCAACACAAACAACAACACAATGGCAATAGGTACACAAACCTCTATCTGTATTCTATTGCTGTTATCTGTTGTTTTTCCTATAACATGATATTATTACAAGATTATCTCCTGTGAAATTTTCAAGCACAAGTTTATCTAATTTATTTATATTTATTTTTGTTGGCCATGTGGCTTGAACTGTGGGCCTGGGTGCTGTCCCTCAGCTTTTCAGCTCAAGGTGAGCACTCTACCACTTGAGCCACAGTGCCACTTCCAGTTTCCTGGTGGTTAATTGGAGATAAATGTCTCACAGATGTTCCTGCCTGGGCTGGCTTTGAACTATGATCCTCAGATCTCAACCTCCTGAGTAGCTAGGATTATGGTGCCAGCTCACAGTTTAACTTTTGCTAAAGCATCCTTAACATTCTTTTCGAATATGTCTGAAAAGTTTCACAACATTGACTCACATAATATAGAAAAGTTGCTCATTATACTCACCCCAGGAAAGCATTTAAAAATACTAATTTTCAAGATTGGATAGATTAGTCTCGTTGGTCAGAAGTTAATTATGAAATGTTTCTTGCCTGGGAAGGTAGAAAGATCTAAAATAGCAGCCCTCAAGCAGATCACAGAAGGCTGTGTAATGAAAGCGTCATTAAATGTGCCATGGTAGTAAGTGTACTTTATCCTTGGTGGTGAAATAAAAAAGGCAGTGTGAGACATAAAGTGGATGTAGGGAAGCTAAAATGTGTTATTTCATTTTTGCCTTTGTAGGCCTTTTCTTCCAGCAAGGAAATGTCCACAAGAACTGATAGCACAATAGGGGAAACAGGACATTGTGTAAGGAGTCTGAAGTTAGATGAGTTTTGTTCCTGACTTACTCATTTGTTCATTCTGCAGATATTCTGTGTGTGTTTGTGTGTGTGTGTGTGTGTGTGTACTAGTACTGGGGCTTGAACTCAGGCCTGGGCTGTCTCTTACATTTTTCGCTCAGTGCTCTACCACTTGAACTACAGCTCCACTTCCAGCTTGGTGGTTAATTGGAGATAAGAGTCTCATGGACTTTCTTGCCCAGGCTGGCTTTGAACCTCAATCCTTAGATTTCAGCCACCTCAGTAGCTAGGATTACAGGCATGAGCGATTGGTGCCTAGCAGCACAGATAGATACATTTTTGAGCACTTGTATGTGCTGGGCTCTGCCATAAGTGCTGGAGATGCCATGTGAGCAAAGTAGACAAAGTCTTGTGTCTTGTAGGATGGAGACAGGATTTAAATGGATGGAAGATCTGATGATCAGGACAGTATGGAGAACTTTAAAGTAGTGTCAGTAGGAAAAGGGGGCTTTACTTTTTATACAGAGTGGTTAGACAATGAGAGGGGAAGGAATTGAGGGAGGGAGCTGGAGGCAGAGCAGGAGTGACTTCCACACCCTGCTGCAGGAGCGTGATTGACATGTGTCAGGGATGACAAATTCACCTGGTGGGCAGTTGTAGGTGTGGGCAAGGAGAATGTGGTGGAAGTGCCGAGGGGCACATCACTGTAAGCCATTATAAGAACTTGGCTGAGTAGCGAGTTTTATGGAGAAGCTCATGTTGACGTACGTTTGAAAAAAGATTGAGAGTAGACAAAGGGGAATGAGGGCAGAATCAGGGAGACCTTTTTTTGATTTTTCACTTTAGCTGTGCATACCGTACCCACAGTTCTTCTGTGGGCCTTTGTTCTTCATCTGTGGAATAACTGGGCCCCCTGTAGCTGGAAAATGTGAGGTTTCAAGTCCTGTGGGATGTTTCTACAGGAAGACTGAAGGGTTGCACAGGAAGAGGTCGATGTGTAAAAGCTGCAAACTCCTGTCCTGGGTGTGGATGCCATGAGGAAGAAGGGAAGAACCACAGACAGAGCGAAGGAGGGTGGATATGGTCAAAATACTTTATGTCAGGATGGAAAATGAAGTTTGTTGAGATTGGTTTGGGAAGTAGGGAGAGAGACAGAGAGAGTGATGGGGAGGGTAAGGCTGACTGTGCACACATAGACGTGTCAGAATTAACCCCCCCTTGTACACCTAATTGATGCTAACAAAAATGTGGGAAGCAGTAAAATTTGATTAAGCAACTTGTGTTAGCCCTGTGCAATAGAACACTGAACAGCTAGCTATGTAAATGAGGTGTCTGTTTCTTGTAAAAATAAGTTTATTAGTGTAGAAAGATGTGCAAACGTATTAAGTGAAAAATAGTTGTTTTACAAAAATGAATTGATGGGGCCAGGCACTGGTGGCTCAGGGCTGTAATCATAGCTTCTCAGGAGGCAGAGATCTGCGAATCGTTTAGAAGCCAGTCAGGTGAAGAGTCCATGAGACTCTATCTCTCCAATTAACTACTAAAAAGCCAGAAAGGGAGCTGTGGCTCAAGGGTACCAGCATTGAGTGGAATAAGCCAAGTGAAAGCATGAAGTCCTGAGTTGAAGCTTCATGACTACTACAAAAATTTAAAAGGAATGAATAAAAATAGCTGGGTGCTGATGGCTCACACCTGTAATCTTAGCTATTTGGAAGCTGAGAACTGAGGATCACAGTTCAAAGCCAAAGCCTCGCAAAAAAGTCCGTGAAACTCTTACCTCCAATTAACCACCAGAAAACCAGAAAACTACTTGCTGTGGCTCAACTGGTAGAGCACTCACCTTGAGCAGAAGAGCTGAGGGACAGCGCCCAGGCCCAGAGATCAAGACCCATGACCGACAAAAAGAAAAAGAAATGAATAAAAATAAGTGTGAAGTCTTCAGATGACCTGAAAAGCTGATACCAAGCACTTTGGGCTGGATCACCCCAAATCAAGAAACAGTCAGGTCTTTTCTGTCCTGTTGTAAGGGTTTCACACCGTTCTGTTAAGTATTATCTGTTCATTCCTTTTCATACTTTGCAGATCCCTGAATTTTTCTTCCTGATTGAAAAAAAGAAGTAAAGCTGTTATTTATTAACAGAGCTGGCAACTGGAGTAGCTTTGTTGTCAGGAAAATTTTGAAATTTTTGGGAAAGAAAGCAATTCTAATTTCTTGTCTACCAGAGGTTGGTTGAACTATCATATAACTCATGGAAGATTCTAGAAGATTTCTTTGGTTTTTCATTCCCTTATCTGACTCCTACCTACTCCATACCTTATAGGTATTCATTCTACTGCATTTCCTATGTTTTTCTTTCTTTGGCTGTATAGGATCTTGCAAAGCAGAGTGTTTGCTCTATAGGTTTGTACCTTAATTTGTAATGCTTTAGTTCATCTTATTTATTTTTTCCTTAAACACTGTTTCTAAGATTCATGCCTGTTGGTATGTGTAACCCTGGTCCTTTGCTTCAGCAAACTGTGTCACACTGTGCCTTGTGCATCCTCTGCAGTTTGATTTGCTTGCTGTCTGTGTGATGGATGCGTGTGCCCCTCCCTCAACCCCACAAGTACTGCTGTGATCTCTGTTTATGAAGCCAAGACATAACAGTATTTCTGAGGAGTGCATGCTTAGAAGGACACTGTTGGATGATAGTTTGCATGGCCTGGAATTGATTAAATAGTGCTGGATTCACCTCCACAACAGCTCACTAGTCTCTTTCTCTCCAGAAGTGAGGGTTTCCATATCTTCATGTCCCAACAACACTTATCTTTGTCCAACTGTCTGATCTCATAAGTTGCAAAGTTGTATCTTGTCATTTTGGTGGTTTCTCCCCCACTCCCTCCCCCCACACTAACAAGCTTCATGCTTGTTAGGCAGGCTTGCTCTGGTTTTGAGATAGAGTCTTGGGTTTTTGTTTTTGTTTTGTCCAGGTTATCCTAGATTATGATCCTTCTGTTTAAACTTCCTGTTATTGCTGGGATTACAGGTCCACACTACCATGTCCATCTTTTTATGTTAGAGTGTGGTCTTGTGAATTATTTTGTCTGTGCTGGCTTAAAACTTCAGTTCTCCCAATATCAGCCTCTTAATTTCAGCCTCCCAATCTCCACCTCTCATGTAGATAGGATTACAGGTATGAGCCATTGCCTCTGCCTTTTGTTTATATTTCTTTGATTCCTGATGATCTTGAGCATTTCTTAGGCATACAGCTTCTGCTGTCAATAACTTGCTCATATTTCTGCCATTTTGTATTGTAGTTGATAGCTGTTGTCATGATTTGCAGAAGTAATTTTGTACTGTATCTACTTCTTGATATGTTTACATGTTGCACATATCTTCTCATTTGGTCATCTATTAACTTTTGCTTTGTCATCCTTTTTATGAGGAAAAGTTCTTAATTTCGAATGAATTCTTTAATACATTGATTATGCTTTTAAAGTTTTACTTCAGAGACCCTTCTCTCTCCCTAGATCATGTCTATGTGTTTTGTCCACCCTCAGCCCACCTTTACATGTGATGTTACCGATCCAGTCTCATTTTGTTTTCTAATAACATCTAAGAAATAGCCATGCTATTGTCCACTGAGGAGAGCAGTGGTGCCCTTTCTCATAGTGATCTCCATGGGCACACTGGCTCATCTCCAAGCCTGTGTTTTGTTCCATTAGTCTATCCATTCTTGCTCCATTTTTTTATTGCTTTTATTTTATTAGGGTGTACTTATGTTGTAATAACGGGCACAGCAATGTTCATTTTGAAGTTTACTTAGCTCTTCCTGCACCACATTTTTCCTGCACCCCCATATAAAATCTGAAGTAGTATACCAAGTTACTAAAATATATTTTTTGAGGAATTCCTATTGGGATTATAGTGAGCTCATAAATTATTTTGAAGAGACTGAACTTTGTTTTTCATGGTGCTGGGGCCTTCTGCTTGCTAGGCAGGCACTCTACTGCTGAGCTACCTACACCTGATGTCTTTAAAAAAAATTATTATTTTTAAGTGGCTGTACAAAGAAGTTCCCATTCTACAAAACAGTATATGAGTACAAAGTGTCTGATAATATTGTCACCCATTGCTTCTAACCCATCTCTTCTCTCACTTTTCTTCTTTATTTTTTTTTAAATTGAGGTCAAAACACATTTTAACCTTCGCAAGGTTAAAGTCACAAACACATTTTAACCTTCACAGTGGTTTATAAAGTTGGTGAATTCTATGAGCTTTGACAATACAATTATTTCTTCCCACACCTGATGTCTTTTTGATGGCAACATGTTCCATCCCAGAGCATGTAACATGCTTTCCATTTACCAAAGGTTTGGTCTTTTTTAAGCATCTTGGAAAAACTAACAGAAGACTTGTAGGATTGGTACAAAGAACTATGTATTCCTTATTCCTTGCTTAGAGTCTCCAAATATTAGCATTTTGCCATATTTGCTTTATTACTTCCTTTCTACATTTCTCCCTCCTCATCTTTTTTTTTTTGTCCATCATGGGACTTGAACTCTGGGCCCAAGCATTGTCCCTCAGCCCTTCAGCTCAAGGCAAGCGCTCTACCACTTGAGCCATAGTGCCACTTCCAGTTTTTGAGTAGTTAATTGGAGATAAGAGACTCCTGGACTTTCCTGCCTGGGCTGGCTTTGAACCACAATGCTCATATCTCAGCCTCCTGAGTAGTCAGGAGGCATGAGCCACTGGTGCCCTGCTCCTCCTACTCTTTTTGAGTTAGTTGTAGACCTCGGTTTTTACCACTGAATACTTAGCTCATTTTCATGTCCTGTATTAAAGCTTGGAACTGCCATCCTCAGATATCAGCCTCTTGAGTAGCTAGGATTATAGGCCTGAGTCATTGGTACCCAGCTTTGCCTTGGTTATTTTTGTGTAAGGCCTTCGTTATTCCCTGGGCCTGCATGTATCCTCCTACTTATGTTTCCCTGTGTTACTGGGAATGACAGAAGTGCAGCACTGTG